TGGTTTTTATGTAGAAATTTTACCCACGTACTGAGAGTCCAAAGGTTCTGATTAGATGCTTAGATCCTTGAATTATTTAAAATAAATTAAGCCACACACTATAATCAAGGGAACAACTTCCCCATGGAATGTATTTTCTCTTGGGTGAAACATTGCCAAAGAAACTATGATTAGGTAGGTTTAAAATCTACTTCAATTAGTTTGGTGAGATTTCTGTAAAGTCCTGACATCCAATAATGAGATAGTAAGAGAATTAAGTGGAAGAGAGACATAAAGGGAACTTTTTTCCAGACTGAACTACTAAGAATGGAAAGGAGAAGCAAGGACTACTAAGAAAGCAAGCACTAGACAGGGGCCAGAACAGCTGGGCACTAGTTCTGGTCATAACTGATTACTTTCCTAACATGAGCACGTCATTCACCTCTTCACTTATCGCTTTCCTCTGACTCTGCTTCTATGTAAAATGACAAAGCTGGATTGTCCCCATCATACCTTCTGATTCTAACATTCATGGATACATGTATAAGTATAAGTCACTTAGATCCTAGAGCCTCACCCTCTATCAATGTCTGACATATAGTACATGATCAGTAAGTCTTGTTGATTTAATCCATAATACCCAAAGCAATCTCCAGACTCAATGTAATCTCTATCATAATTCCAATAGCATTTTGCACAGAAATATTAAAAAGTCCTAAAATGTGTATGGAAATAAACAAAACCCTCTATAGACAACAGAACAAATAAATGAATTCAGTAAAGTTGCAAGATACAAAATCAATATACAAAACTAGATTATGGGGGCAGCCCAGGTGTCTCGGCAGTTTAGGGCTGCCTTCAGCCTGGGCCTGATGACCCAGGATCGAGTCCCACTGTCAGGCTCCCTGCATGGAGCCTGCTTCTCCCTCTGCCTGTGTCTCTGCCTCTCTCTCTCTCTCTCTCTCTCTCTCTCTCTCTCTCATGAATGAATAAAATCTTAAAAAAAAAAACTAGACTGTGCATCTAAACACTAACAGAACTATCTGGAAGAGAAATTAAGAAAAAATCCCTTTATGATTACATCTAAAAGAATACAATACTCAGGAATAATTTTAACCAAGTTGTGCACCGAAAACTATAAGTCATTTATGAAAAACATTGGAGACACACATAAATGGTAAGATATCCCATTCTCATAGATAGAAACAACAAATATTATTAAAATATCCATACTACTAAAAGTAATCTACACATTCAATGCAATTCTCATCATAATTCCAATGACATTTTGCACAGAAATATAGAAATCTGTCCTAAAATTTGTAGGAAAACAAATAAAACCTCTATAGCCAAAACAATCTTCAGAAGAACAAAGCTGGAAGCATCATTTTTATTTCAAACTTGATTACAAACACATAAATCAATGGAACAGAATAGAGAACTCAGGAAAAACTCATGCATGCATGGTATTTAATTTATGACAAGTCACCAACAATATACAATGGGGAGAGGATAGTCTCAATAAAGTTGTATTTGGAAATCTGGACAGCCACATTCCTCTACACACAAAACAAATGGAACCTGGGCTCTTCTTCTTATACACATATATCGACTCAAATGGATTAAAGACTTAAACATGAGACTTGAAACCATAAAAATCCTAAAAGAAAATTTAGGAGAATGCTCCTTGACATTCTTTACAATGTCGTTTGGATTTCTCTCTCTCTCTTCTCTCTCTCTCTCTCTCTCTCTCTCTCTCTCTCTCTCTCTCACGCCCGCCTACACATACAAAAATAAAGAAGTGAGACTATATCAAACTAAAATCTTATGCACAGTAAAAGAAACCAACAAAATGAAAAAGAAATCTGCAGAATGAGAGAAAACATTTAAAAATCATATATCCGATAAAGCGTTAATATCCAAATCATATAAAGAACTATATGTAAATAAAGCTGGAAAAAATAAAGATGTTATTTACAATAGCAGCAAAACCATAAGTCTCCTAAGAATACATTTAATCCCAGGAACTAGATGCAGATTTATCAACTCAATTTAAAACATTAAAGTAGGGACACCTGAGTGACTCAGTGGTTGAGTGTCTGCCTTTAGCTCTGGACGTGATCCCAGGATCCGGTATTGGGTCCCACATCAGGCTCCAAGAAGCCTGCTTCTCCCTCTGCCTGTGTCTCTGCCTCTCTCTCCCGGTGTCTCTCATGAATAAATAAAATCTTTAAAAAAAATTGAAGTAGACCAAAATAAAGAAGGATATGGCAAAGAATGCCAAGGTCTGTCCATATCCTTGTCCATATTTCTTGATATCCCTTTCTTTTTAACCCTATAATCTATATGTACTTTCACTGCCAACAGTTCCCCATATTGTCCTAGGGCTGGAGTTGATTTTCTGTATTATATTAGACAAAACTGTCTGGGAATTTATGCTCCAATTCAACCCCAGAGAAACCTCAACTAATGTCTAAATAGTATGGCAATATCAAAACTCCACTCATTTTCATTTAATTAAACCCCAGGCATAATTTACACTCTAGAGTTCTCCTGCAAACTCAGTCTAAAGTGACCCTCTGTTGGAATTCACCTAAAACTGATTCCTTGTTTATATTTTTCTCCCCTATCCTGCTTCCTCTACTCCCTTTACAGGTTCCCTGGGAACAACTGTTTAATAAATCATTCATTACTCACAGAACACTATTCCTTAGGTTTTTCAGGGGACTTTGTTTATATTAACAAATAACTGAAATACAGGTATCCCATACCTGTGAGTGTAAGTTCTTCCCAAAGCTATATAGACATGCAACACAATTCCAAACAAAATCCCAAAAAGTTTTTTGTGGAATTTGACAATTTAGATTTAAAATTGTCTAGAAGATAAATGGACTCAAAATAGACAAGATATTCTAAAAAAAAAAAGACATTAGAGAAACTTGTCCTATTAGGCATCAAGAAATAAACCAGAGTAATGGAGAGTGTAGAATTGGCCTAGAAACAGATTCATGCAAATATAGAAACTTGATATATGTCAGAAGATGACATATATGTAGGTAAATAGAGAAAATGATTGTTCAATAAATGATAATGGAATATCTGGTTTTCCACATGGAAAAAATAATTGTTCCTTTCCTCCACAATCCCCCAAAATCAATTGTAAGTAAAACAAGAAATTAAATGAAAAGGTACAACTTTAAATCTTTGGAATAAAATATCAGTTAATATCATCCTGACCCTGGCTTAAGAAATGATTTCTTAAGGCACAAACAACACTAACAATAATGGAAATTTACAATTATGATACAAACGCCTGGGAATGTTTCACTATCTAATTGGATTGGGTATCTAGTACATGGACGTCCACTAAATAATTATGTTGATAACATATACATTATATATCATGTATCCTTTGTATAAAATATTTTTAAAAGTGGGTAAGAAAAACTAACTTTCATGCAAGATACCACTTCAGGGCAGGGGTGGGGATGCATCTAACCTCCAGCCCAATTTCCTTTTCTGCCATCACTGTGGACACTTTCACCTCCAAGAAGGAGTTCACAGTCCCTTTCCCACAACCTGAACAAGCAGAGGAAATTCCATACCAGAGTGTGAATGACAGTTGAGAAAATAAAAGCTTTTAACTAGGGTTGAAAGAAAACCTAAGACTGAGTGGCTGAGTGTCCAGCAAATGAGCTTTACCTATTTATAACTTCCGGAAAATCTGTAGTAGGAATATGAAAGTGGGGTTTCACTGAGGGAAGAGGAGTACTGGGAAATAATAAGATCTTCTTAATTTGATGTTTTTTCTCTTGAAATAATTGTGTCAAGTCCAAAAATCTATGGAAAAATATATGAATTTCTTTTACGAAATGTACCAAAATTGATCCTAAGGAAACAAATGGTAAAATGAAGGGGGGAAAAAAGTTGGCCCACGTTTAGCATAGAGACTAATAACCTAATAGATTCACAGGACATCTGAAATGGAGGTCCTTAGGGATTCAAGCCAATCTCTTTATTTGTGTGCCTCAGGAAACGGAAGCCCATGAACATGCAGGGGGACAGACATAACCCCATACCTACAACCTAGTTTCTTGGTTCTCCATCTAGCACAGTTTCCACTGTGTCACACACTGTATGGCACACCCACAACTAAAACACAGTTGGGTTTCTACAACCTGCAGTCCATGATCTGTTCTCTCCAACCTCAATTTCCTCCTCTTTCCCCACCTCAGCATGACCAGTAAACTTCTGCCATAAGACACAAGCACCCCATCCCACACCCTAAAATGGTTCCAGAGATGGACAAACTCCTATAAACAGGACTTAAGGATGATAACAAGATTACTAAATAATCCCTTTCCATTCAACTCTGTGCTCAGAATCTTATCATGTAAGTGCTTGAATGTTCACAAAAAAGAGAGGAGAATTTCAAGACGCCAAGGGAATAATACTAGTGCACAGAAGCACTTACTATCTATACTTTGAAATTGTACCTGGTATGGTGAATCTTCTCCAGTAATTACAGACCCATGTTTATACATGTCCTATATGTGCCCTTATACACCTGTCTTCACCTATATGAACATATATATATGGGTACATGTGTCCACACACATAAAACACACATCAATTTTAAAATGTTCTGTGAAGGCAGCAGTAGAAAGGCACTAAACTAGCGATTAGAAGTCCTTGTATGTGACCCTATGTGAGTAACTTAGCCCATATCTCTCTACTTCCATTTATCTTCAAACCTGAAGAGTCACACATGTTCCCACATTCTTCCAAGGACTTTTAAAGACAGGTGATTTATTCAACACACATTAAGCTCATATATGAAAACTCCTCAGAATATTCTGTTTCCATGGTGTCAATTGCTGTTTTATTGCTATGATTCTCATGGTCAGGAGTAACATTTGCATTTGTGTTAGGCATCAGATGGAACACTAAGTTTTTTCAATGCTACCATCCTCACCCAACACTGATCACACTTCTGGTGAATAACCTGATTAATAACCTACTTCCTGAGGTTGTTGTAAGGATTAAAGGTTGTTGTACTACAGTCAAAACACAGAGATTCCACTTCAGTCTCCACTTCAGGAACTTGGAAGTCACCACTCCATCCTAGGTAAAAAAGCTGAATAGAATGAAAAGTCAACAACTCTTCTTGGATCCTTAAGGAGGACGACATAGGGCAAACCACCACCCCCAAGACTGGGGAAAAGATAGAAAAACACAGGGGTTGCCACTTCCCAGGGCAGAGACTCATGGGTGGAAACCACTACAGGAATCTGCTGGGGTTGGGAAACCTAAACTAGAATCGTTGAATTACTGGAGGCTCAGCGTGGACCAGTCTGGGAGCTACATGCTCCATAGGAACCCAGTAAAGGAGCCTCCCCCTACTCCAATAGTCTGAGATTTATGTACAGGAGCTCGACTAGATTCCAATGGTAAGTTTCAGAGAAAAATCCCCTCGTGATTCCAGCGGGGAACTAAAAAGGAACCATTTTTTAGCAGACCAGAGCACCTCTCTTCACAAGGCCTGCACTCAGAGAAACTAGTTAACCAGCACCTAGCCTGCTGGGGTTTTCCCAGAGACTAACCTGGAGGGAGAGAAACACCCAGCTCCTGTCAGCCACAGTCATCCTGTCCCATCTAAGGGCGGAAAAAAAAAAAACTGAGAAACTCTTGCAAAGTTCATAGTCCAGAGACAACAACTCACTAAACACATTCCCATAGTGTCTGGCATCCTGGAAGATGCAGGAACTGTTAACACACTCATAAATATAAGCTTCAGGAACACAAGGATTCTAGGATTCTTGCTTGCTTCTATTCTGCTGTCCCTCCATTCCTGCCCAGCAAAAGCACCAGGACTGACCCTCCCTCCCTTCTAACCTGCCTCCCTCCCTCCCTCCCTTCCTTCCTCCACCTTCCCAGCCAGGTGGAGAGTTTGGTGTCTCTCCAAAGGACACAGGGAAGGACACAGAGCAGAAAGGAAAAGGACTGGAGGTAGAAGAAAGCCCAAGACCTGTTCCTCAATGACACCTTCACTGCTGTCCACTACCGCCCCACCACCCTGCAGCCTTCTAGAAATTGGCAGTCAGAGGAGGGCCTCCATGTTTAGGAGTCAATGTCTCAGGAACACTATCACCTCGCCCTAGGCTCCACCCTAGTCCACACTCTCACCTCAGTGCCTTTTTTTGTCTCCTAACTCAGCCACCTCTCTGGGGAAAGGCTGGGTGCCCCACTCTGAATAAACACAAACCCAGACAGAAAAAAAAAGTGAAAGAAAATACTTACCACCTGATAGATGATTAATACACATTTAAGGAGAGAATGAATCCATCTGGTATTTAGGAGAAAGGGTAGGAACACAACACGGGGAATAGGAAGACAGAAGAAAAGGGCATAAGGAACCTGTGGCAGCCACCTACACAACAGACTCTGACACAGCACTTTACAGACCAACCTTCTGAAGCTGGTATTGTTACTGTCTCCTTTCTAAATGTGGAAACTGACATCCAACAGGGGTGAATGACCTATTGTCAGAGGAGGAAGTCGGAGATCCTTGACAGGCCATGGCCACTGGGTGGCTTTCCAGCTAGATCCAGGCAATTAGAGGCTTCCCACCACTGTCTCTCCTTGGAATGTTCCATCTGCCCTCCTTCCCACAGACACAGCCACTTCCAAATGAAGGAACAGAAGAAGAGCTGAGGACAAAGCAGAAGCTGACACCCTGCAACCCAACCCCCACCCCACCCCACCACCACCACCAAGTGGGATGTGTGTGACATTCCTCAGGCACTTCTGGCTGCCCTAAATCTAAGGAAAAGAAAAAAAAATAGTTAACTTATAGAGATTATAATCCTGCAAGACATGAGTCTCCCTCAGTTTATAAATGTTTTAGTGTTTCACAAGAACAAAACATTTTATCAATAACCTAGCTTCCAGAAGAAAACAGAGACACTTATATGTCCTTATAACCTGCAGCCCATTGAAAGAACCTTGAAGGGAAAGGAGGGTCATGTTCCTCCAGGAAGCTCCCAACTGTTTAATGCTAATATCCTGCTAGAGAGAAAAGCCACCTTAGCTTGACAATGGCCAGGTCTCCAGTATTTGTAGGTCCTCTTTAGCACATGAAAATTCTTTTGAAAGTCTCCCTTTTCCTTACCTCCCCCAAATACCAAGTGTATATTCACCACCCTTCACAACCCAGGGGGACAGCAGCTCCTCCTGCCCATGAGTCCTGTCTCCGTGCCTTAATAAAAATACCATTTTGTAGGAAAGATGTCTCAAGATTTATTTCTTGGTTTTGGGTTCAGGACCTCATCCCACCACACCTCACTTTTATTCCAAACTACATCACAAGCACTCACTCTGAGAGAGTAAGGAATTAGTCAGACTATCTGGACTGACCTGAGTACGGTCTCTGTATCAAATTTTAATTCTGGCAGTGGGTGCAGAGATCTACTGGTCTGGGTGCCACTTAAGACAGCCTCCTAGGCAAGTAACTCCCCTTGCTCATTACACCTGCCACCAACTAATCTGGAGGGGTCAACCTCTTTCTTGAGTCTCTCCTTGCTCTCCATTTACAAGGGACGGTTTGCAAACCAACATTCACTGAGACACCAGAGCAGCTCTCCTAATTCCATCCAGCTTTGCTCCCTCTAGCAGCAAAAATGAATGAAGACAGAGGGGGATTCCTGGGGACCACAGTCCCTGCTCCTCTAGAAAGAGAGAAGCGCTAACAACTTGCTTTCCCTGGCTCTGCTCTCCATTCCCACAGCTCGCCACGAACCCTTGGTCCTTCAAAACTTCCTGGTCCAACCTACTCAGTGTCCATTCACTCCATTTTTAAACTTCAAATAAAAATGCCAGTTTTCTTCCCAGCAAAAGTGGGTTTACTCCTGAAAAGCTGAGGCTAGCATTATGCATTACAACACTTTTATAAAGGAATGGGTGGGGTGGCTATTATACACACAGAGTTCATTGGAGTAAACTAGGAGTGCTAAGCATAGGTTCTTTCATTGGCTGATCTGTGACGGTCTCCCATTGCCTGAACTGCTGCCCTGGAGATGGAAATCCTTTCTAACTCCTACTGGAATAATAAAGTAGTATTGATATGTTTTTGGAGTAGTGTTGTTGGGTTCTAGAGTTGCTGACCAAGAAAGAATTCTCCAAATGTTTTTGGTTTTTAAAAAAAGTGATTTTATTAATGCAAGGGGACAGGACCCATAGGCAGAAAGAGCTGAGGCCTCTAGCTGCCCCAAGATTGTGAGGGGCAACTGATTATATACTTTGGGATTGGGAGAAGTAAAGATAAGGAAGTTCCACAAGGATTATCATGTGCCAGAGAAGACTCCTAGAATACCAGAGACCTTGCTATCTTACCCCAAGGTTATTTTTCCCTCTAGAAAGGCTTTAAGACAGTTGAGAGCTTCCTGAGGGAATCTTATACTCTTATACTCCCTCAAGTACTTGTCAATGGATGGCAGGTTTTGAGGACATTTATTTTATCTATTTCCTTCTCCCTTTGTTTCTCACATCAGTATTGGCAAGCAAGGTGATCTTTTCCTGCAGACTCCATATTTGAGGACAGGGGTAGGTAGGGCATGAGCACCTGCCCTGCTGACCTCTTGGCTCCATTTTCAAAAGGTCTCCTCCTATTAATTTGCACACAATCATTGTCGAAGGAGTTTTGAGTTCAGGAGAGCCCTGAAAGCTGACTTAGGGGAACTGGATTGTGCTCTCCCCTGGCTCACGACTTACTTGGTGACTTTGTGTAAATCTATAATATCTCTACACTTATTTATTAATCTACCTGCTGAGAATTGGAAATGAAGGACTTCGAGTAAAATACCTTGAATATCATGAGAGAAGAGAATAAATCTCATTGAGCACTGTATAGCCACAATAAAGGAAATATCGAGTACTATTATCCATGGTATAGATGATGTATTCAACTTTCCAGGATGTTCCTTCATTCATAAACCTCAGAGGTTTCCTGAATGAGTCCTCCTGGACTGTAACCCCCTTGAAGGGAAAAATTACATCTTGCTTTTATTTGTGTCCCCAGTGCCTCACTCATTGCAGACACTCAATATTTAATGAATGAAGGGGTGAAGGAGTATGTGAGATGATGATGATGATGATGACTATTATTATTATTATTATGGTTGTCATTACAAGCGTTAAATTTGAGATGTGACAAGAAGATGGGAAGTCTCCCAAGGTCCAGGCTGGATTTGATTCCCTAGATGTCACTTCTCCCCCATGTTCCCCTCTACTCTAAACAGTTTCCTCATTGCATTTTTCACCTCATTGTTCCTCAAAGTGTAGATCAGAGGGTTCAGCAAAGGTGGCATGACAATGTTAAAGAGGATGACAAGTTTGTCAGCAGCCAGGGTGGTGGAGGGACGAGTATACATGAACATGGGGGGCAGAAGGACCAAAAGAACAGTGATGATGTGTGAGCCACATGTAGAGAGAGCCTTGCGCCAGCCCTCAGATGACTGTCTTCTCAGGTTCAGTAAGATGACCACGTAGGAGATGATAAGGATGATAAAGGACACCAAAGTTATCATACTACTGTTGACCATCACAATGAGCCCCACCAAATAAGTGTCTGCACAGGCCAGCTTCAGCAAGGGATGAACATCACAGAAGAAGTTGTCAATCTCATTAGGCCCACAAAAGGGAAGCTGGACTGTGAGGAGGGTCTGTAGGATGGAATGCAGGAAGCCACCCACCCAGGAGGCCCCTGCCAGCAGACCACACTTCCACCGATCCATGATAGCCGTGTAGTGCAGGGGCCTACAGATGGCCACATAGCGGTCATAGGCCATAGCTGTGAGGAGAAAGATCTCAGTGCAACCAAAGAAGTGGGCAGAAAAGAGCTGGGTCATGCAGCCATTGAAGGAGATGGTCTTTCGCTCCATGAAACTGTTAGCAATCATCTTGGGTGTGGTAGCAGATGGATAGCACATGTCCGCAAAAGACAGGTGGCTGAGGAAGAAATACATGGGAGCATTCAGGGTCTTGCTGGCATTGATGATGATGATGACCAGAAGGTTCCCCAGGACAGTGAGCACGTGGAAGAGGGAGAAGACCACAAAGCACACAAGCTGCATCTCCCTGCTCTGGAAAAGGCCGAACAACACAAATTCAGTCACGTTGTTCTTGGTTCCCATGGCTTCTCTGCCCTGAGCACTGACAATGTAGTTAGCTCTGCAAGGACACAAATTATATGACATTAGAAAGTTTCCCAAATCGGGGAAATCAGAATACTGCATTCAGGACTAATAATGATTCTAACACCAAACTACAATTGAGGGAGAACAGTTCCCCACACCTAAAGCAATTCTCAGAAACCAACAAGTTGTCCTACAATTCAACTCAGTTCTGACACTATGTACCTGGAGACAGTTTCAGATCCTACCGGATAAAGGTTCAGCCCACAAGACTGGCCGCTGTTCTGTACTCCAAATGCCAGTTGCAACCCAGATCATCAACTGTGCTTCTGATAATGTCTATTGATCAAAGATTCCAGTGACCCCCTTCCTTCTGTTTGATTCATTTGCTAGAGCAGCTCACAGAATTCAGAAGAAGATTTATTATAAAACGATATAACTCAGGAATAGCCAGATGGAAGAGATGCATAAGGCAAGATTTGTGGTAAGGGCATGGAATTTACATGCTCTCTGACAGCATCACTCTCCCCAGATCACCACCTTTTCACCAACCTGGACTCTCTCTAAACCTCAGCCTTTGGATTTTTTATGGAGCCTTCAGTACTTAGGCATGAGTGATTAAATCATTGGCCATTGGCCATCATTCAACCATTAGTCCCTCTTTCCTCCCCCAGGTTCCAGAGGTAGAACCCTGCAATCACAGGGTTAGTTCCCCATCCACTCATCCCCAACCTCACATGACCTAGGGGCATTCCAAAGGTCACCTCATTAACATAATGAAAGACACCCTGATCTCTCTCACCACTCAGGAAATTCAAGGGTTTTAGAAGCCATGTGCTACAAATTGGGACAAAAACCAAGTACATACTTCTAATCATAAACCACTACATCACAAGGTCCCAGCTACGCTATATACTAACTGTGGACTTTGGCAAATCAATTAACTTTTCAGGACCTCAGTTTCAAAGTTTATTAAAAAAAAAAAAAAAAAAAAAAACAGGCAGCTTTCCAGTTCAAGATGGTGATACAGAAAGACTGGTCCCACCTCCTCCACAGTACACACCAAATTATACTTAGAACAATTCCAGAAAAACTGAGGGCTGACTCAACAGCTCCTGAACAATCAAATATAGAATGGCAAGAGACACCAAGAGAGACAGAGACATAGTACAAAGGGAACCCC